TGAAAATACCATTTTTTATTTTTATTTTATTTTACTATGGACCCATTCCCAGGTTTTGAGAGTTTTACAAGTGCTTATCTTGATGCTTGTGCTGTTCTATTTGAAAAAAATAGTTTTTCAGTTAGTTAACTTGTGTTTGTAGAGATTTTGCTTTAAGGAATCTCTACTTTGCAGAAGATGGAAGATGGCATCATTCATGATACCCTGATATGCAAGTAAATGCCATGGCTTGCACCCTTACCTCTTACTGCTGCCCTACGGAACAAAAAACTTTCATTTTTGTTATCCCTTTGCTTGCCAGAGAGCATTAAGACCCAACAACGAGGATTTGCTGAGCATGTCCTCAGAGCAGCAGTTCCTGCCAACAGTCTGGGGGGCTCCAGACTGGTGAACCTCACTTTGGTCCCTGGAGAAATTATGGGGTTAGTTTTCTTGGAACATGTTTCTGAGCTCAAGGAAGAGAAGCGGATGACTGGGAACAGTCAGTATAGTTTTATCAAAGGTAAATCAGGCCATCATTGTCTTCTATCATAAAGGTGACTAGGGGGGTGGATGAGAGGAGAGCAGTGGGTGTCATTTACTCTGACTTTTGCAAGTCAGACTTTTGTGAGATTTTAAAAACAGTTTCCCACCATATATGTCTGTCCAACTTCAGACGTTTTACAGTCTAGAAGGTTGGACAGCCAAATCTGTAAAAACCTTGTGTAAAATGTTTAAAAATCCAGCTCAGAGGGTAGTGGTTAATGGGTCATAATCTACCTGGTGGCCAGTAACAAGTGGTCTCTTTACTGGGATGTGTGTGTCCCACTTTCCATGTTTACCAGTGTCCTGGAGAAGGCAGTGTAGTTTTTACTCGTATGGTTGCAAAGACATCAAATTGCGAGGCAAGGTGAGGGGTTGCGAGAGGAGTCAGTACGTCTGCGGGCAGGACTGCCATGCAGAGGTATCCAGGCAGGCCTGGGGATGGGAATCAGTGGTGCGAGTTTCCAAGTCACCCATTACGGTGGCACGGGGTGGAAACTGGCTGGGGAACAGCTTTTGGTGGACAGCAAGCTGATCGTGAGCCAGCAGTGTCTCCTGACAGCAAAGAAGACTAGCAGGATACTGCTAATATAGCAGGAATATTGCCAGTAGAATGAGGGAAGGGATTTCTGCCCTTTACTCACTACTCATTAGACTGAACCTAGAACAGTATATTCAGTTTTAGGCCACCCAAATACAGGAAAGACATGAATGAACTAAAATAAGTTCAGCACAGGGTCACAAAGATGGTTGGTGGTGAGAGCACATGCCCCTTGTGAGGAAAGGCTGAAGCAAGTGGGTTTGTTCAGCCTGGAGAAGCAACAGCTTCCAGGGGACCTACAGGCAGCCTTCAGATACCTACAAGGAGGTCAAGAAGATGGAGCCAGGATTTTCATAGCAATGCCTGGCAGGAGGCAGAGAGACCACAGGCACAAGTGAAAAGAAAAGAGACTGCATGTAAGGGAAAATCTCCTCCAGGAGAATAATCTAGCACTGGAACAGGTTGCCCAAAAACTACATGGTCTCCATCCCTAGAGGTTTTCAAGATCAGATGGATAAAGCTCTGAGTAATCTGGTCTGATCTCCCAGCTGACCCTGCCTTGACCAGGGCTAGAGACCTCCTCAGATCTCTTCCAATCTGCATATTCTGCAAATTCTGCATATTTTATGATTACACAGTCCTAACACAGCCACACTGCTCTGTGCTATTTTAAAGCTATGCTAACAATATCAAAATCTCTTTAATTGTTGTGAATATCTAGATGATTTGGTTTTGCTTTACTTTTGCTTTTGGAACCCATAAATACTACATATGCTCTGTACGATCTCCAAACAGCTTGTATTTGTGCTTATTTGCTGGTATGACGTGCTAACTGTGCAAAAAAAAATTGGACTCTTGCCTTAGAATATAGATACCTGCCAACTGAAAATGAAGTCTACATAGTGCTGCAAATGCTTTCTCTGTCTATGGAAAGTGCCTTTTATATGCCAGAAAGAAGCATTTATACCACATGCTTTTTTACTGCTTCTCACATCTGTTAACATTTACATGTGTCAGAAAATAATACCTGAACAGTAAAGGGAAGGGATAAATGAAGTTCAAGGGCATTGCATCAATAGAAAGGACATGTTATATTGCAACGATGTATCAGAATCAAGAAAAAAAAAAAAGATTTTTTGGATTTGTCAAATACATGTAATATGTGTATATGATCCATGCATATGATCTATGAATACATTTCCATAGTTGAATTGGAAACCCAGGTTGCCAGTGAATTGAACAGAACCCACAAAAGGATCAAGGAACTGCAGTCAGGAATTGAAGGAATTATAACTTTGTGATATATAAGAAAGGATAAAATTTTATTTCATTTAAGACAAAGATAGTAACAAAATTTATATCAAAATCTTGTAAGTTGGATTCCTAAATATGCAATTATCTACTTGCATTGAAACATTTTGCATTTTTGCTATTCCTGTCTTCAGTTGCCTCCTTGTTAGCACATGAAGTAAAACTTGACTGACAAATGTTGCTCTATATCCTCCATCCCCAGGGGCAGCTACTGTTTTAGACTTTGTTTTCAAGAATATTTTTTCAAGTCATGTTGTGAACAGCGCGAGACACAATGTAATGGATACTGTACAAAGTGGTAGTTACCACTGGCGAGTGACTTAAAAGAAAATCAGTTAGAGAGAGACTGACCCTTGTCCCACCAAGCCCAGAAGGGAAACTTCCCAGTTTTCACTATGTTCATTAACACTGTGGTTTGCATTGGTGGAATTCATATTACCTATTCTCTGGAGTGTAAAGTCTTCTAAGCCTAGAAACAAAGAGTGCCTAAAGAGGGAATAAATAACCTTGAACTGAGACTTACGTACTATACGTAGACATAACAGAGGCAGATTTATTTTTGCTTTTTACTATATTTTTACTAAATAACATATCACCAAAACATTCACTTTGTGATGAACTTCTGCTCTTGTTCTTCTCATGTTGAAATTATTAAATTTGGGTTCCACAATTCACTAAACTGAAGAAGCCTTGCACTAGGTCTGTGAAGATGCCCTGAGTAATCACACAAGGCATATAGTTACCTTGTTCCAAAATGTGAAATTTACAGCTTTAACACACCAGATACATGTTTTTGTTTTTGAGTCAGGGAAATGAAGGTCTATGTCAGTCTTCTTCTATAAGCTCTAATAGAACATTGTGAGGTACCCAAAGAAATACTTTACAGTTTAGGCTGATAAGAAATCAACTGCAGAAATCATCAGCGAAGCAGCATATTCATCCAGCAATATTTCTTTCAAAAAAGTGAATTGTCTGCTAAGACTTGCTTTCTGACTCCTGTGCTCTGTAAAGCAGCTTTATCACTGCACAGAGATGTACAGCTTGGTCTTGTCCGCAGCTGAAATCAAATGTGAACTTCACTGACTTCACTGCCTGCTTAACTTGGCCTGCATTTTGCATATGAATAAAATACAAAAATATAAAGCTTTCACATATCATTTGCTTCTCTGTTTTAACTCAGGTGTATCTTTTCATAGTATTCACACTTTAAGAATTCTTATTTATCTATTTGTGCTTAAACAATTCATTACATTAATGGAAATTATAGGAAGAAGAATGGCTAGAAGAATTTATCATCAATGCGTAATTTACAAGAAGGGTCTTTTTGACATAATTCAGGCATATTACAGGCAATCTTATAGGTTATATATAGGGGTCAAAGAGTGAAAGGTGACTGGCAAGATGCTTATTTTGTACATTTGGCTAACACAAATACTTCCTCAAGTATAAAATGCTTTGATCTCTATAAGCAAATGCCATATGTTTGCAGCTGTGGCCCATGCTTCATGATTGCTGGAAGGTTAGAAAAAGGTAGCATATGAATTTGATGCCTGCATTCAATTTATGCTTTTATATTTAGCAGTTCATAATTTTATGTAATATTTTAGCTGTATGAAAAATATGCACTGGAGTTGAGTGATAACAGATTTCTTTGTGGTTTGACTCAACATTGTTTGGGTGATGCACAATCCTAAGTATTGCAGACTGAAAATATAGGTTTTAATTAGAGCTGTCTGAGCTTCAAAATACCTGAACTCACATTAAGTTTGGCAGATTTTCAGAAATCTGAGAATTGCACAGAGTTGATTTAAGCTAAGCAAGTCTTTGGTTTTCCAGCATATACTGCATCTGCAGTTGCATCACTGATTTCAAAACATTAAGAAAATAAGACCCAAAATGATTATTAATGATTTTCGGATATGTAAAAATGTTTTCTCCTCAAACCAGCCCTCTGTTATGTGATAGTGGTGTTGAGCAGTGCCTTTCTCCAAGGGAATTTCCACTGAAAGAACTGAATGGCTTCCAGAGTAAAGGATCTGCTCCACATGACTGAAGAGCTGAATCTGCTCCAGAAGTTTGGGGCTTTTGTTGAACTTTTGTTTTTCACTCTTACGTGCAAATATTTGAGAATGTTATGCTCGGACTGTTATCCCTCAAGCAGTTGAACGTGAGTGGTTTGCTGTGGCAATAAAGAAACCTGCTGCAGTCAATGGGACACGAGGGCCCATTCACATGGATCCAGTTTCAAGATCAAGGCCAAAACATAGTGCAGAGTTTTGTTTGTTAAAAATCTTGAGCATGTACAAATATAATACTATGCCTTAAGGGGAAATCATTATTTCAATTAAAGCATGTGCAATTTCTACTCTCAAGAAAAGAGCTAAGTCAGAACTGAAAGACAGAGGTAATAAAGTAATCAGTAAATGAAGTGGAAGGTACAAACATTATCAAATTTAAAGCATTTTATTTCTATATCTTAATTTTCAAATATTTTTGGTTAATACAATTTTAACATTTTATCTGCATGCGAGTGAATTTGCACAATTGTTGTGTATATGATTTGAATATTATTTGCAGAAAAAGCATACGAATTTGTTTTCCTGATGCTGTTTTGTGTTTTTACTAGCTCCTCCTGGCTATGGTAGGCTCTACGGATGAAACTCTCCAGGAGGCGGCAGCTGGCTGCATAGCAAACATTCGCAGGCTGGCGCTGGCAACAGAAAAAGCAAAATATGGCTGATGCTTTAACAGCTTTTATCAACCAACCTCTTTTACAGTGCATCTACACTTAAATGCATGACTACTTGATCTGGTATCTGTATTTCACAGCAGAGTTCATAAAACATTTATAGGAGAATAATTTACTAATAAAAATACATCTGTGAAAACAAAAGGAGGTTTTGTTTGTTTTTACCTCGATGGTGTCTATACGGTATGTCAAAGTACTCTTCTGTAATTAATAAGCTTGTATCTCAGATTCAGCTTAGATATATGTGTTTTTCTGTAGCTGTAAAGTTACAATAAATACATTTCCCATTGCGGCATGTGTGTGGTTGTGCAGTAATTTATGAATGTCTTGAACAATTCCCTTCCTGCTAAACTTGTCTAATCATCCTGTCACTATGGTTTTTTGCCTGTTTGATCACTTGCAATTCACAGGAGAGGACAAACTATAGATACATCAATCTCACATCTGGTGTTACGTAAGGACTGCAAACAGCTGTAGCAGTAGACATCATTCCACATTTCCTATTACTACCAGCATCAAACAAAATAGTGCCTAATTTTACAAGAAGGTGATGAAATATGTATCTTAATTAACATATACATTTAAATCAAATTGAAATTTACCAGCTGTAAATAAAATGGATCACTTCATGTTTCCACATTACAAATTATTTCTCTGATTTTCCATTTTTAAACTGAGAGCAGCATTGTTTTAAGGTAGTTACTTTATTCCTCTACATAAAATTATATTTAAGATTACTGAATTCCTTTCAATAACCATATAATCAATTACTGGTATTCAATAACCACCATGTGAATAATTGATTAATTATTCAGATTACAGATTATAGAACCACAGAACTATATCCCAGGCATCTGTTCAACTGTTATCCTTTGCTAAAGTATTTGCCATGCTCAACGAATAGTATTGACCAAGACATTTCCCTAAACGCAGTAATGTCTTAATTACAAGTGACAAAATTGAAAAACAAAATTAACAAGTCTTTAAAAACTTAATTGAAATACTGACTTTTGATTTGTTTTAAAGAATTTATTTAATAATCAACAGTTTTCTTATTTTGGAAGTATCAGTTTATATTTTTTTTCCTCTAACTAGCACAGCTAAAAAAGGCAACTTAACTTTAACCAGTTAAATTGGTTTAACCAGCAGAAGCTTCTCACAGATAAACAAATAAACGCAAATCCAACTTCTCAATCGTGTCTTCTCTGAAATCAGCATGCAGGCTCATTAACTTCATCTTAAAAGACTGTCAGAATTATTTCTCATTGTATCATTTTAAAGAAATACCCATTATATATTTAAAAAGTATTGAATTTTCATTTATTTTTTATTTTTAAACTCCATTGTTGCCCATCATCAGGGCTTGGGGAGGAGCTCCCTAAGCCTGGGCTGCCTCCCGGGCAGATGCTGAGAGGGTGGCGATCAAAACATTAATCCAGTTAGCGGTTTTGATCAATGCAAACACCTATACGGTCACAAGGGTGGCACAAATTCTTTCAGCAACTAGCAACCAAAAAAATGCTATGATTTCAGTGATTTTTACTCTGGCCCACAGGCGTGGTGTGTTATTTTAAACCAACGTATCTCTATTATTCCACAGCTGTCACAACGGTGGTAACAGTGTTTGCTTCATAGCTAGTCACATAAACATTTGAAAAAAAAATCTGATTGACAAATTCATTTTGAAGGGGAGGGCTCAGTGCTATTTCTGTCCTTCTTTGTGAGACAAGCTGTGGATGTGAATAGCTTGTGGCAGTCTTGCCTACGAAAACTATATACAATAGTGGGTTATTTTACTTATTGTAGGGGAAAAAAAAAAAGAAACTCTCTGACAATAACAGTTGTCCTTAACCTGACCTCTCAAAGCACTCCTGGCTCTTTAGCATAGAATTCAAGTGGTATCAGTTTAAAGGAAACCTAATTTTATAATACAGGTGACAGGGAAATAAGTCACGAATTACACAAGCTCAGTGTGATGCTCTCACTCACGCTGGGAGCCCTTAAGCTTTGGAATAGCTCAGGTGAAGACTTCGTTTAAAGACATTGGACACCTCATCCTCTCCTTAAGCTGGTGTTTTCCTATATTCTTATGGCAGTTTTTAAGTTCTGTATAGGAAGAAGAAATTGTGAAATCGATACAGACTTGCCACACAGTTGGAAGATCAGTATTTTAAAAAACAGATTTTTTTGGAATTGCTAAAACTGCCAGATTCCATGTAATTAATATGAAGCGATGTAGTTCTTGGACAGAGAATAAATGAAGCCGGTCCCTGGCCCCTCTGAGGTGCACAGGGCAGCGTGGACATTTGAGAGGCTCCCGGTGGCTCCGTGTCGAGCTTCACAGCACCACGGTCTGCTGAAAAGCAGCCCCCCGAGCTGCTCTGCGGTCCCCGCTCATGTGCGCCGGGCCTAGCGCCGCCATCGGCCTGCTCGAGGCCTAACGGGGACGGAGCAGCCCCGGACGTCCAGCCCCTGCGTTCGCACGTCTCCGAGCGGCCCCAGCAGCTCTCCGGGCCCCCGGGGCTGAAGGGGAAGCGTCTCCGCTCCTTCCTCCCGCCGCCATGGCTGCTTATCCAGACAAGCCTCTTCGGAAATGTGGTTATATTGAGCACCGGAGCTGAGTATTATATTCAGCCTCGTGCAATTTGATGTAAAAATTTAACAAAAAGTTCTTCCTTTAACTGCAAAAATCAAGTGACTTTTAACAGGAGATCCCTCACTGGGCCATTTGTTTGCTGGCTTCTGCTTGCTGGTTTTCTTCACGCAATTCCTGTGTTTTCCCAGGCTTGAAGTAGTTTTCTTCCAGCCTGCAGTTAGTTTAGATTAACTTTGTCATCCCTTTGACTTGCTTTTGATCTTCTGACTTTGATTTTGACCTTGACTTGCAAGAGAGTCCAGCACCTTTTAAAATCCCGTTGGGCAGCTCCCCGGTGCACGCAGGGCGGCGTGTGCCGACAGACAGCGAGAGAGTAAGCGAGGCCGGCCCTGCTGCCGCCGTGAGCTCTCGTCTTCGCTTTCATTAAAACGTCAGAAAAATTACAGGCCGAATAAGAAAAGATGCCGCGAAAAGTGTCGCTTTGAGTATGGAAGTACTAGAATTGATCAAAAAAAAAAAAAGGGCAAGAAATCTTTCACCTTTCTGCAATTACTTTTGGAACCTTAAAGGCCGAGCAAATCTTTCAGCCCATGCATCTGTCAGCAGCAAGATAGCTTTTCTTTTGCCACTCCATGATTTATTGCTTGGTGACAGATAACCATTATCAATAATTTAATTGTCCCAGGATGTTCAAACTACATATTTAAATCTGGGATTTATGTTCATTTCCTCTGAATGTTCATGCTAATGACAAGTGCATGTGTTCTGACACACAATATTGTCTCCAAGTTGTTAAGGAAATATAAACTTCACGGCCTGGGTGCAATGGCATCTGAGACATATTAGGGGCTTTGTTATTCTGCTCCCTCACCAGAACTTTTCTTCAGAGAGTATATGAGCTCGAGTCACGCAGCGCCTTGAGATTCCCATCACTAATTTGCCAACTGATCACTCTGTAAGAAATGTGATTCCTCTTCCTTTTTGTAGCTCCTAAAATGAGTCAAATGAGCTGCTGACACTGGGGGTCAGAGGTGTGAACTGCCGGGAAGCTGAACTAGATAACATGTTAGTTTAAGAATTTCATCTCATAATAAATCAGGTGGCTGTTCCTTGCACACTTCTACCAAAAAAAAGGTACACATGACAGCAGAATGACTACAAAGAAAACATGTAGTGTGTTTCTGTAGCACAGTATTCAAGTTTCTACACTCAGGCTGTCTGTTTGCAGAGCATATTTCCCGAGTCAGAAGCTAACTGCTCCCCAACTGTGCATTGTGGTTTGCTTCTTCTTTAGTCACTTCAGCTTCACCACATACTGCTCAGCATCCAGAATAGCAGAAAGCAGCAGTGCTGTTTCTCAGGCACACTGAAATTCAGACAACCTAATCTCCCGTTTTTCAATGACCTGACAGGTGCCAGGACCAGAGTGTCTGGAGATGGAGCCCTGGCAGGGGGAAGTTAAACTACACGGTTTCTGAAGGAAATGAATTTTACCAGTTACTGTTTCCTCTCCTACTTAAGCAGAGAAGTTCCTCAGCACTCAACATTTTGCTGCTCTGTATATTGGTGCTAGCAAAGAGTGACCCCTTTCCCTGACTTTTTCTTGAGTGCAGTTTTACATTGTACCAGGTGCTTTGCATCTTGCTGCCTAGTTATCAGTTCAGTGATATTTACTATTTAACAGGAAGACATGAACAGCATTGATGTAATTTTTGCTTGTTTTCTCCACTCGTATCTGTGGTAGCTGCCAGGCACCTTTTGGTTGGCAAGTTTCTCTCTTTTTTTCCCAGTTATTTTCATTGCAAGCTATGGGCTTTAATCGAAGCTAGGTGGGACACAGGACAATTTAGCTGCTTGAGCCTTCATTTACCATGACTGCAATCAATTCTACTTTGGTTACAAACCTGCTTCCTTTCTCCAAGGTTCATAAACCCACATAGGGAAGCCTTGGCTTTGGCTATCAGTTTATATGACGTGGCCTAATCCTATCGCTTTCGCAGTTACCCGGCGGCACAAAACCAGCTCTACAAGATCCCTGAGTTTTCTCCTATCATTTGGTAATCCTGATGTGACGAGATAGGGCAGCCAGCCAGACAAAACTGTGCTTTGTTGTCACTTTGAATGTATTTTGGAGAAGGGCCAGAAGAATGGACTTGTACTGAGGCTGAGCCATGAAATGATAGGTCACAGAGCAAGTTTTCCGGCACCTCCCTGTTGAACCACGATCCTGGCTGCCGCTTTCTCCACTCATGATTAGGTGAGAATCTCCCTAGAAGCTTTTCTTTGGCAAAATGGTTCATTAAAATCTTGGTGGTGGATTTTTCTTGAGCCCTCCTGTGACATGTACCACTTCTGTGAGGCACTTGGGGAAGGCCAAGAGAAAACAGCGAGCACCTGCACTGGCGGGGCGGCTCTGGAAGCAGAAATTTGCTGCGGTGGCTGAGCCATGAGCTGCGAGTGCTGATACCCAGGTTAAACACCCGAGGATTTGTGTTCCGCTTTGAAAAAAGGTTTTAATAAAAAAATGGTAATTCAGAAATCATTAGAAAGATGCTGATTAAATTAAAAGCATACAATATGAAATTGAAATGATTTACTATTGAAAATTGTTAGTTGACTCAGTAGTAGTTAAATTTTCAAACAACTTGTCTTGAACAAGCAAGTAGTTTTAAGTGTTTGGCTATGTGTCCTTTTTTTAAAAAAAAAAAAAATGAACACAGATCATGTTGCTGGTTCCCTCCACCACAAACTGGTAGAGGCTGTATTATAAAGTTAGTGCAGTAAACCACTCATCTTTCCAATTGCTGCGTTCTCTCCTCCAGTCAACAGCCTTTGGGGCTGCCCTGGCTCGTTAGCAAAAGCACCGAGTGCCGTTCTGTTGCACTAATGAAAATAATAACAACAATGTCTGGGAAGCCATGGAATGATGCAATAACCCTGCTGCTCTGTTTCCTTTAATGTGATGAAGCTTGCATATTTGCCCGGCCCCAGTGTTTCACTCCTGCCAGTATTGTACTGTAAAGAGACTTGGCAGAACACGTTCGAAGAATATTCGTGGTTTTTCACTCAGCATTAGACCTTCCAATGACGGAAGGGTGGGGGAACCCATATTGGGACAAACAGACACTATTAAAAAAAAAGGGGTGGGGGAGGAGACTGGTGGTACATGGTCAGCAATTTTGTAAAGCTTGGTTATGGAACTGAGGCTGATTAGGGCTAGACTGGAGGATGGTATAAAACAAGGGGGTTTCTCCAGATGTTTTCCAGGAGACAACCACCTCAACAGAGGGTTGCTTCTCAGCATACTTAGCAAAGGAACCAGTGCTGTGTAGGTCGATAGTGAAAAACCCTCTGCCTTTGTAACCGAGCTCAGGCACAACTGACGAGTGACTGCGGGTGACAGTGCAGAAGCTCCTGAATTGCCCCTCTCTGTGCTGTACTTGCCCAGTACATTAAAAATCCTTTCCCATGGCTGCCAGCCTCGCTCTGCAGACCTTCATTGCACTCACTTGTGGCTTTTGTTTGTTTGTTTTGGGGGTTTTTTGTTTTTTAATTTGACCATATAGAAAGCAGACCAGCTAACTCCTACCCCTTCATGAGGCTACGGGGGAAACAGTCAAAGCAGAGCTGAAGCAGACTTTGGATAGAAACATTACACGTGCACTTGCAGATGAGGGGCAAAATATGCTCAGAATCATAAGTTACGGTCAGATGGATGCCTCCTTCCAGCCCATTCCACAACTGTCTGTGGTGGGGTATCATGTAAAAGGAAAAATATTTGGAGAGGCGGACATCTGTGGGCCAGCGTTGGTTCACTTCCCAGAATGTAATGACTAGGTGAATGTTTTTCAGTGTAGCAACCCGGGAATATAGGTGACTGCCAAGCCCTGGATCTGATGTGGCACGAAGAGGTGCAAAACAAAGCAGAGTGATTTCTCCGCAGAAGCTGAGGCCTAATTCCTTCCAAGTCCAGGAGGAAAAAAGCCAGAGCTCTCTTCAGTCCTCCCGGGGCTGCCTTTCAGATTTTCATGAGCCTTTGCGACTCTCGCAGTGCGCCGGCACACTGGCACCCACCAGGCTGTACGAGCACCGCTGCTCTCCGTGGTCCACAGCCACTGCCCCGGCTTAGTCTGTGCTCTGGTTATAGCTCCACTGGCAATTACCGATATCTACGTACCCTCGCACCCGGTCTGAACTTCAGGAATGTGGAATAGTTACCACTTTAATTTCTGCTCAAACTGCATGGGAATTACTTGTCTTCTCTCCTGAATAACTATGCAGATCCATGCAGACACCAAATTCATGCCCACTCCAGAGATCTGGAACACATTCCAGCTCTAGCAGCGAATCACCCCGTGCTCTCCAGTGCATACTGGAAACGTGAGCCGGAGCATACTGCAAACGCAGGCCTGAGCGCCCCACAGCACCCTCAGCATGCGCCAAGTCTGAGAGAGCCTCCATCAGACCACGTCGGCCCAGGAGAGGACAGTGCAGCCTGCAGCCTGCTGTTCCCTACCGCAAACAGCTATTGCAACTCGGGCAGAAAGCCGCGGCAATGCCGGGGCCTCACAGCAGGAGAAAGCGCTGGCCAGAACGCTCAAATCCAGCAGCCGCTTTAGGGCTGTGAAGCCGGATGGAGCGAAGCATCTCTTCCCAACCCAACAGCAGCGCCTGAGAGGGCTGGGATCACACGGGCAGTTTCTCCACAGCGCTCCAGGCCCGGGCAAGGTGTGAGCGAGTGTCCCCGTGCAGCAGCCGAGGGAGCAGTGCGAGCCGCCGGGCTCCGGCTGCGCTCACTGGGTGTGTGCTGCACGCACTGAGGCGCGTGTTTTCATAGCAAATCTAAACGGCAGTTTAAAAACGCGGGCCCAGCCAAAGAAAACCCTGGAAAACCCCACAGCATGAAACAATAAAACTGTCTAAGAATTTAATCCAATGAGAAAGTTAGCAATTGTCAGAAGTCCACAAGGTTTGCATTTCTAAAATGAAACAGTCCAGCAAAGTAACGAGATTGTGTTGATATAATCAACTGGTAGCAGTTTGACAAAGTCGCAGGAATGTGCAGGGCGTTGGGTTACAAAAGGTGGCTGCCACCTGCACGTCTCCCTTCAACGCGCTCCAAGGCCTTAATCAAAGAAAAAAACAGTGTGGAAAAAATACCTGAAAACTCAGCCCATTCTTTCCGGGGCAGGCAACGTTTTACATTAGCCTTTAGCATGTGCAATCTGGGCAAACGCGCCTTGAGTAACTGTAAACGAAGTGATTGCAAAACTGCTGAGTAAAAGCCAAAGGGAGCTGCAGGCCTGGAAAGCTCTGGGAAGCCAGAATGAGCCGCAAACCGGCTCTGCGGGGCCATGGCTCCCTCAGCAGGGCGCAGCGGGCAGGGCCTCCCCGGCAGCGGCCTCTGGGTGCCATTCCCACCCCAGGAGAACCTGAGGGGCCTGGGAGCTGCTCCATGAGGCTGCTCTGTGCTGGAGAAATGGAGATGGTCGATAGGTTGTTGTGTGGAAGGCAGCAAGGAGGGCTCTTTAAGGACGTACAGCAGGACAAGGCAGGGCAGGAACATATCCTATATACCATAACCACCCTCTTGCTGCTCCCCTTTCCAGAAAGACTCACAAGTACCTACAGACACCAACTACCTTCCTCGCTCTCCTATGAGAAGGCAACTCCGAAAGAACTCAGAGGGATTTTTATTCCAGCACAATGTCAAGCACCTTCCCTGGGTCGCTGTGAGTTCCACAGGGATGTCCCTCGCGAAAGTGGCCCACCAGGCTGCAGCGAGCTGAGCCTTAGCCGGCCCCACAACCAGCTGAGTGTGGGCAAAACATAAGGACCTTCAGTGTGAAGACATACAGCTGAGGTTCCTCTATCTTGCTCTGACAACTGTGGAGTCTTCCCAGATCATCTCAGATGGCTGCTGGCCCGCAGACCCCAGGAGAAGCAGGACAAGAGTAAGCTTGTGAACCGCTATCTCCCCATACAGCCTCTGTCTCCATAGATTAGCAACGCAAACAAGGGCAGGCTTCTTGGAGCCAGACAGAGACCGCTGGCAAATCAATGTGTTTGTGCCTGCTTCTTTCACTGGAGAGCACTGACATGGTTAGATCCTTTCCAAGAGCTTTGAGCGTTTTTACAGTTATCTGCCACCCAGTTCCAGGCCTACGGACGACAAAATCACAATGACCGCTTCAAGCCACTCCATGGGATAAGAACCTTAAAAAAATAGATCCTTTGGGTTGAAAATCATATTCCTTGGCCAGTTTGTAAATGTTCACTGCAAATTATCTAGTGCCACTGCCAAGCAGTATTACCTTAACTAGGACATGGTGGGTCAACCTGTGGAGAATCTCACATAAACACAGGCAGGAGACCAAGTGCCTTCTTTTTCAGCGACAGCTCCCAGCAGGGCTTGCTGCATTTGCAGGACAGTGTCTGTGATAACATTGAAAAAAAACGAAAAAGGTCTCAGTTGAATTCACTGAACTATAAGAGGCTCAGCAGCCTGTGAGGAGATCTTCTTCAAAGGGTCCAGCTTCTTCAGCAAAACACTGCAACAGGCCATGCACACAGGCATCCTCACCAACACAGGCAGGTACGAGAACCCCCAGGCAGGGCCAACACATTTGATCCTGCTGCAGCAGCACAGGTCACCTGAGGGCCTGAGGATGAGCCACGAGTACATGTCGCCATTAACTGCCATCAGAAATCTGGGCACATATCCAGAACCGCATGACCTCAGGGCAGGGGTATGAACAGCCCCTGCTCAGTGCTGAGCCCACCCATGTGTGCCCCCCATACTCCACTTATTGTAGAGGTGTGGGGCTCTTCAGGAAAACTCTGCTAGCTGACAGGCAAAGCCTCACCAGAAATCTTGCCTCAAAAATGCCTTCCTGACATGACAGACCCCTTACTTGTACTCAGCTGGGGTACAGGGGGAGAAATAATGACCCTGTACCTGTTACCTTTGATGGTTCTTAGCTTTGATTTATTGCACACCAGGCTTGCTGTGGTGCTGTGTGCAGGTGTTCAAATTCAGTGTGTCCATCTGGCAGATGCTGCATGGACAAGCTTGTCCTCATCCCCACGCACTTCCCTCCTCCCTGAGCTGCTGAGAAGGAAATACAGGCAAGCGGTGGACTCTGCAGTGTGTAAAGCCAGGCTAATTCTGCTGCCATCTGATGGAGAAGGTGAGGACTCAGCGCAAGGAGGCCCAAGCAACCACAGATTTATAGAGGCTGTCTCTGAACTGCCGCTTGAGGGAGGACAGCAGGAAGCCACAGCTCCATGTTGCATGGCAAGGAGGCCGGGAAACTTCCTGAAACGGCTGCGAGTGTGGCCAGGGGCACTGCCATGGTGGTGGACCCCGCAGCTCCGGGTGCTCCCGTGCCGCCTGCCATGGTCGTGTCTTGTGCAGAGGAGCATGTGCAAAAACAGTGCGGCTTGAGCGGCCGTGACCCCGCTTTGTACCGGCTTATATTCCCAGTATTTACCCTGGCCGCCGGGCTAGGTAACTTTATACAGCTTTGCTGCTCTGTCAAAAGGCTGCGAGGTGATGGGCACCTAAATTTGTTGACAGCTTGGAAGGAAACAATTTAATTATGCAAACCTGAAAGCCAACTCTGTCCCTGCGCCCAGGAGCAGCGTCCCCATTGACGGCAGCTGGAAGCCCCCAGGCTTCTGAGGGCAGCGCCTGTCCCCATCCAGCAAACGCTTAGCGGATGCTTAATATTACCCAAACGAGGACTTCTGGCAAAGCCAATGGGATAGCCAATGTTTATGCATACAATCAAATGTGCAATTTTGGTCTGAGTGCTTCGTCATTTTCTTGGATCACACTTAAAAAAGAGATGAAAGCTCACAAGTCAAATTTAACCTAGCAGAATGATTTATTAAGAAAAAACACTGAAGGATTTTTGAAGTAGCGAAAGGGATGAAATAGTCTGAATAGAATAAAAATTGACACATTTTTTTTACCACAATGCAAAAGGAACTTGAACTATTCTAATGAGAGTTTGCTTTAATGTTCATGCATGTCTTCACATCCTGCTTTTGGCAATGACCAGAAAAGAACTACCGAAGGACTGTGAGAAAAGCTGTTCTCGTGTTATTTCTGGCCCTGCCATAATGCATGAAATCAGGACATCTCATGAGAGAGACTGATATTCAAGATTTTCAGTCTATTTTTCAGACAAAAAAGGTCTGAATAAATAGCTAAACTCCTGGTTTTAGTTGTGGCCAAATCTCAAGCAACAGGAAAATTATCTCTGAGGTCACAAGTGAAATAGTCACAACACAGGAGAAAAGATAATAGTTATATGCAAATAATTTGGAGGAAAAAGAAACTGTACAAGTAATATCTACAGGACACACGAGGGCGGGTGGCTCCTTACTCCCTAAGTCACTCTCACTGCCATCAAGGCATTTCTGAAGGTTATTCATACAGCACATGGGTGTTGGGGTTAAGTCTTAAGGGCCTGAAGATACCAATAAGTGTCCTAGGTTTAGCACCATGTATCTGCATAGCTGTGCTCTGCCTAAGCATTTTTCCTCATAAATACTTCAGGATATAAACAAATGCAGGGTTCTATGGGCTATACAGTTTCTGGCGCCTCTGCCAGCTCTGCATAAATACTCGGTGTGTGCAGCCAAGGTCTTGGAGAATTATTTCCTGAGAGCTACTTTAGAACCAGAAGGAATTAATGAGGATGTGCCAGCTATTTCCTACGTTGGCTTGCATGCCTCGGTCTTGCTGGTGAGTAACAATTTGTAGAAGAGTTAAACTGCTACACGTCACATCTTGCATCCTGCAGAACACGCATATCAGAAGGTGGAGCACAGATGGAAAAATGCAAACAGATTATGAGCTTGTCGCAGCTCCCTGGAGTTGCCATTTAAGGCTGGTAATAACTACCAAAGCCAAACGCATTTTGAGTCTATCCTCTACTAGTAATCATTTGTGTGTTTAAAAACTATTTTACAGAGCTTTAATTTAGTTCTACTAAAATAATACAACTATCAGCATTGGTTAAGCAGATTGATTTAATCTGCCTGGCTCCTTATCTGTTTGAGTAAACACGTATTTATTATTCCTGGAAAACTTTAAGAAAAGATACATGTCATTAGAGACTTTTAAATGATGAATTATGTAAAAGCTAGAGCTGCTAGGAAGACGTTTTTATATGATTGCAAGCAATTAGGGAAGGCGATTTTCACACTCAGGCCAAAAATATTAATTGCAAATTATTTGGAAAATCTTCCCATAACTTTAATGCATCCTCAACCCTCCCCAGGCTTCCTCTGCAGGAAGCCAGCCCTGCATGGATGGCTCCAGGCAGAGCCAGGGAGAAGAAGACCCTGAAGTCCTGGGCAGAGCTTCACCCAGGCTGCTCAGGCAGCCGATCCCATACAGCTTTGGGGATTTTTCCTTCAGGACACAAAAATAACCTCAAAAATGTTGTCCAGAGTTTCTAGCAACTCAGTCTGTCCTCTTCAGGACCAGCCCTACTGTGGGGACTTCAGAGCAGAGTCACCAGAACGGACTGAGTTGCCTAAGGTCTCCTGTAGTGTAAGCAGCCAAGAGCTGAGGATTTTTCTGAGCTTTTTATGCGATATCTGGAGGACCATCAAACTTAAGCATATTATGACTATTTCTCTCTGTTTAAAAAAATCCTCGAAGTCAGAATGAATTTTGTATCCCCTCTGTCTTGCCTCCAGAAAATGCCTCAGATTTGGGGCTGAAAGGGAATACGTCCTGAGCTGACGCACCACAAGCTCCTACCCCGAGCAGAGCCTTGTCAGTGCGGAGCGAGGAGGAAACGTTTCTGCGAGTATTATTAACATGTCAGTAGCACTGATAGATTCCAACTGAGATCAAGCCCTGCTGTAATCGCTATGTGCCAAGAGCAGCGGAGGAAGCAGGGGAAGGAGAGGAAGTGTTATTATTCCCATGTTACAGCTGCCGAAGGGAGGCTCGGCGATGGGAAATCCATGCAATCACACGAAAACGCGTGCAGGCCAAGTGGGAAACCGAGTCACCACCTCGCAGTCATCACCTCTCCCCTCTCATCCCACTCACATCTCTCCCCCTGCTAGCGGCGCAGGGTTGGTTGAAATTTGCCAGTTATTTGCAGGTGCTCGAGCTTTTGGACACATAGAGTAAGTCCCAAAGAGCCGGGAGTCAGGCAGAGACCGTGCGTTTTTCTGTGAGTCCCTGCAAGTTATTGCAGCTCCTCTACTCACCTCTATGCACAAGTGCTAGTGTCTCCCTCCTGCCCAGGAAAGATAAACTGGAGCAAAAATTGCTCTCAGTTTAAACCACACTGCACATGATTGTTTACAATGCTAGAGTGACCTCTATATCCCTAACACAAAGCAGTAACATTGGTGGTAGGAGTTACTCTAAAAATACCCGACTTTATACTTTCCAGTAATGCTAGATGGGGAAACAGGAACAAATAGTAGGAAATTTAGTAACACTGTATGTGATGTTTATTTTTGCACAGGTGGCTGGAGAAAAAAAATAATTAAAATAATAGTAATAAAAATTATTAGTATCAACTGTTCAACATCTATCCTTAATTTTCAAAGCGGTGATAGGAAATTTGTGCTGTGTAACTTCTAACTATTAGTGCTAAATTCAAACAAATCCACATTCTTTCTTCAAATGCAGAGCAGGCATCAGCCATCTATGTTTAGTGAAACTGAATCATTCTCTGACAAGTAAAAACAGTAAAGTACAATGAATTTCCTCAGAGAATATTAAATTCACCCTCTAAGAGTCCATTAAAATTAACCTTATTATGAAATAATAAAATATGTAAAAGCATAGCAAAATTACCAATGGGAATCAATGCATTACTTTTAATCAAGAAAATCATCCACTCCTGAGCTGTGTTTCAACTCCTGTTTGTAAGCAAACAAAAGTCCAAGCACTTAACCAGATCCTCCGCTTTTGTATTTCTCACAGTTAAGGAAAAATGAGCAGCAAGAGCCAAGTGATGCAAGGTGATGCACAGCCTGAACAGCCTGGCCTCAAACAGGGCAGAGAGGCCAGGCAGTAGGGAACAGCTTCACACCCTCTGCCCACTGCTTCCTTCACGCAAATTGGATGCAACCCTTCCTGGAGATGGGTGGATGACCAGAAGGGTGGTGAGCGTTACTTCATTCGTTATAACATTTATTCGTTATCGTCTCCGGAGACATGATGTGGCCCGGTCACACGTGACGGAGAGCAGGGATGTCAGAAACGCAGCGCCCTGGAGCCCGGAGCGGCTGCACTGCAGGTTCTCCTGAACTATGGCTAACACTGAATCATAGGGTCTTACTTCTACCCCATACTTACTCTTTCCTGATACAACTCGCATCTGAAACGGTTCAACCAGTGTTTCCAGCTAACATCTTTGCTCTAAGTCATCTCCTGTGCACCAGAATTTGGTGCAGTTCTCATTCTTGGCGCTCACCTCTCACAGTCTGTTTCATCTTCCTGCAGCATTCAGCTGCTTTCTTGCAACAGGCTTCTCTCTCAATAAATCTCTTTTGCGAATGTAAATGATAAAGAAATATCTGAAGTATGATGAGAAGTATGCTCGTGCAGCTCTGCTTTATAATCTTTTCTGTCAACCTGGAAGTGAAGCACAGGTTTTGGTTGATGGTTACATCTCCCCGGCGTTGGGTTATCCTCCCCATTTGCTCTTTTTGCTGTTGCTGGTGACTTCCTCACCCCCGCATTCCTGGCCCTGCAGTCTGACAGCTTTCCCAGCTGCAGCATCCATAGCAGAGCCACTCCAGGAGTGGTCACACATGATGCTGGCATGTTCCTTTCCTGGCTACAGGTTTCCATGTCAACAGGTTTCCCTCTCACCGCTTGTCTAAACCAAACACCCATTAGAAAGGAAAACAACCCTGCATTTTAGCCTTCAGCCCAATCCCTTCCTTCCTTCACAGAACCCTTCAAATCCCCAGTTCTCCACGGCTTTTTGCATGCAAAAAGGCCTGTAATTGGTGGTAAGTTCACAGCCTATCTTTGCTTTCGAGTAGACTGGCAGAGTCTTTTCCCCCTCATAGGTGTTGTATGTCCTGCATGACAACCCATTGCTCCCAAGCATGGATGCAGCTCACTGTGCCCATGCTTGTGCGCCCATCGCCTGCAGCATCACACCTCGGCACTGGCCCTGTGAAATATCCAAAGGGAAAAGTATTTCTCACGTCCTTAGGAATATGTTTGCAGGACTCCATGGCTAGGAGATCCAGCTTCACCCCTGCTTTATTTCCCACATGCTTTCGAGGATGCAGGATGCCAGCTAAGGTCGCAGCCCTGCCATGCTTGTCTGCAGGCATCTCTGAGCTGTGTGTGGGGCTGATCCCGCCACCACCACAGACAGCAACAGTCCTCAGCAGCTGCTCTCTCCGGGAGGGTGAATATTTTGCAGTCCAGATAAGACTTTATTTTGCCTAACGCTAAACAGCTCCTCACCTACCTGACTTCAGCAAATGCCATAGCACAGAGTGTACCAACAAGATGGGGAAATTCTTTGAATTTCAAACATATATGTTAACTGTTAAGGAATCCACAGCTGGAGGGGGTGGTTGTGAGAATGCAACTCCAAGTGTTTCTTTTTCTAAAAGCATTTAAGAAAAATAGTGAGAGCACAACCTGAGGCACAAAAATGATGTTTTGCTGGAAGCGGGACTGCAAACTGGAATTGAAGACTGTGTTTAGGAGCATAAATGGGGCTCTACCAAAGCTGCTCTTGGAGTGCCTCCTGCTCCCACAGGGAAGGGGAAGGAGGGAATGGCAGGAGAGCTAAGACCTGCCCTGGCCATGCCAGCTGTGTCTCTGGGAAGAGACTGAGAGAGGGGTGGCTCTGAATGGGCCACAGGAGAGCCCGGGAAGCAAATCCTTCTCTCAGCCTGGCACAGAACAACAGATTATTTCAGACTCCTCTGGGGTCATAGATTATTTAGAAGCCAGAGCACCACTTTTAGGCCCCTTTCTGCTTGACACTCCTTGGGAAGAGGCCTTCTTGCCACTTTCTGGTGTGCCAGCCTGGCTGTCCAAGGCAAGGGCTGGGACATGGGACAGGCAGGAGCTTCCCACGGCGCATGCGGCCGCGCTGCGGCGCACAGGCAGCTCGGGTGCCGCTCCGTCCTTGAGGAGCCGGCCGCAGCCCGTGGGATGGGGCAGCAGCTCTTGACTTTTCCGTGCACGGCCAGGAAAGTAACCTTAATTAAAAACATGAAGCCCCAGTTTGTATCGTATTCGCGGCGTTAAACAAGCTCTGGAAATAGAAGCCCTGTTTTCATTTAAGCTTTTCAACTGTGATCTAAGGAATAAAATATGGAGGGGGCGGGCATGTGTGAGATTTACATGTGATGATTTGGGAGATCTCGCTGCTTCGGAGGCTCGTAAGGCGCCACGATGCCAACTGCTCCCGCCGCTGCCTCGGCGCTCTTGGCAGCCCTGCCCCGCGCAGCCTTTTGGTTTTTTCCAGAGCCGCTTTCCAAATGCTGATTTCTGCCCGGGGCTGTTGTTGCTGTGATTTATTCTGGGTGCGGATGCGGGACCTGCCAGGCCCTCAGCAACCTGCTCCCCAGGCTCCCCGTGCATGCCTGGCCACAGGCAGGTGCTCCCTGGGGACCATGGAGGTGGCCCTGAGGCCACCACGCAGTGAACAGGCACCAATCCCATGCCGAGGTGCAGGGAGGTGGCGAGATGTCCCCATGTGGTCCCCATGGCGCTCCTGCCCTGGCTGCTTTCCTGGGGCTGCAGGGCTCCTCGCTGGCCTGTGCAGGGGCAGGCCAGGAGGAGTGGGGCAATGGGAGCAACTGTCTGTGTGGAAGCAGTTGCTGCTGCCTTCCCGTTTCACTGGCCCTTCCAACCCTCGGGATTTGGAATTTGGCGATCAAGCCTCTCACTTGCTCGGTGCCCTGTTGCTGTAATGCAACTATAACGATATTTCCCAGGTCATAAACAGTTCGGCTGTGCAGAGCAATCATCACAGCTGTGTGCTTTGCAGCAAGTCTCTGATCCAGTGTTAGCAGGGCCTGGGAAGCGCTTATTTCAGTGCCCCATCCATCCCTCGGCCACCACCATCTGTGCGGCCTCTGAGCACTTGGGTAGTGCCCCAAACAGGGGCACCCCAAAGGGCCAGGGAAGGGCACAGGAGCTCCCAACCTTGCTCATCCTTTGCTTCCCCGGGACGGGTGCTTGTGTGGGTGGCTCCAGGCTTTTCTCCCGCCTGTACCGGAGCAGCAGGATGCCCTTGTGCTCGGCCTCTCCCACTGTCCTGCTCGTTCCCTTTGGCAACCAGAGGCATGAAGAGGGGACTGGCGATCCCTGCTCCGCTCCCAGTGTCTTTCTAGCGTGCGTGGCTGTGTGATGTCATGGAGCACAAGCGTGACGTCACGGCCCCATCCACAAGCCAGATGCACAGAGACTCGCCCAGGGCGGGGGGCAGCCCGGGCCGGTGGGGAGGTTTCTCTGGACGGGACAGAAGAGGGGACAGAGAGGAGAGGGACGGGGCAAAGCCGGGAGTGGCTCTGTGGGCACAGGGTCCCGGGGACACCTTTGTGGCGCCGCAGGGAAATGGGGGGACGGGGCAGGCGGCAAGTCGCCTTTCCTCGCGCCTGGATGAATACATATTGAAAAAATAAATACATAAGTAAATGAAAAGTAAATTATCGCGAATACCGGCTGGGATCTCCGCTCCCGTTTCTGCGCGCAGCGCCCCACATGCGAGGCCCGTCGGGA